TGGATAGATAGATAGATATAGATATAGATATACACACATAAATATATGAGTCATGCTTTCTTATCCATTCAGCTACTCTGTGTCTTTTGATCAGAGCATTTAATCTGTTTATGTTTAAGGTTATTATTTATATGTACTTATTTATTGCCATTTTTGTTTATTGTGGTTATATTTTTCTTCCTCTTTCTTCTACTAATTACAGCAGTCCTTTTAATATTCCTTGCAGTGCTGGTTTGGTGCTAATATATTCCCTTAGACTTTTTTTTGTCTGGGAAGCTCTTTATTTGACCTTCTATTTTGAATGATAGCCTTGCTGGGTAGAGTAGTCTTGGATTCAGATCCTTGTTTTTCATGATCTTGATTACTTCATGCCATTCTCTCTGGCCTGTAGTGTTTCTGTTGAGAAGTCAGCTGATAGTTCTTTTGTAGGTAACCTGTTGCTTATATCTTGCTGTCTTTAAAATTCTTTGTCTTTGATTTTTGGTATTTTAATTATTATGTCTTTTGTTGTGGGCTTCTTTGGGTTCTTCTTACTTGGGTCTCTCATTGCTTCTTGGACTTGTATGCCTTTTTTTCCCCCACCAAGCTAGGGAAGTTTTCTGTCACTGTTTCTTTAAATATATCTCTAACCGTTGCTCATTTTCTTCTTCTTCTGGCACACCTATGATGCGTATGTTAACACACTTCATGTTGTCCATAGTTTTCTTAGGCCGTCTTTCTGTTTTTAAATTGTTTTTCCTTTTTGGTTTTCTGATTGGGTGAATTTTTTCTACCTTGTATTCTAATTCACTGATCTGGTCATCATCTTTGTCTGCTCTGCTGGATATTCCTTCCAATGTGTTCTGTATTTCTGCTCTGTCATTCTTCATTTCCAACTGGTTGGTTTTCAATGTTTCTATATCTTTACTCATGGTGTTGAGCTCTTTACTCATGTTGTTGAGCTTCCTCATGAGTATTGCTCTGCACTCTCCCTGTGATATCTTGCTTAATTCTATGTCATTTATTTCATCTCCTGCAGAATTATCTTGTTCTTTCATTTGGGTTTTGTTTCTTTGTTTCACCATTTTGGCTGTCTCAATGGGTTTTGGAGCCTGCCAAATTTTCCCTGTGGGTGATGGTGTTCTGCTGGTTGTGGCTCCCTCTACTGGAATTATATGAGGGTTGGAAGACTTGCATTAAATACCACTATGAAGTCTTACTTTCCTGGGTAGATTTGCAAGCTAAGGAAAGAGTCAGTTATCCTCTAGCTATTTGCCTGGAGGCTGTCTCAGTTGCTTGATGAGCCTCAGGTGGGGCTCTTGCTATCCTATTAAATTGAGATGTTAATTACCTTCCATCTGCGTTTCTCTGGCCCAGTCTGGGGGTGTTGAATTCCTGTGGGAGGGACTGTTGCCTCTCTACAGGGTTCTGGGAAGGGGCTCTTTGAGTAAGATGTCTAATGTCTTGTAAGTGAGTGATTCTGTACAGAACTCCTGGCATCCACCGTTCCTGAGCTGGGAGCTCTGGACTTTCTCCATTCAGTTCCAGTCTAGTCCACTCTCTCTTTGCTGGAGCCTAAGGTGAGTAGCTACAGCTGGTTTACCAGTGAGGCCTTTGCTGGCTCATTAAATTGAGATGTTAATGAGCCTCAATTTGTATTTCTCTGGCCTGGCCTGGTGGTGTTAAATTCCTGTGTAAGAGGCCATTGCTTCACTCCAGGGCTCTTGGAAGGGGCTCTTTGAGGAAGAGGGTTATTGTTCTGTGAGGGAGTGATTCAGCACAGAACTTCCTGCGTCCACCCCTCTTGAACCAGGAGCCCTCTTTTCACTCAGTTCAGTCCAGTCCATCCCCTTTCTGCTGGAACCCAAGGTGAGTAGCTGTAGCTGGTTTGGTGCTTTTGGAAAAAACACACACACACACAAAACGCTTTCTCAGTGGGAAGTGCACACTGCTAATACAACTCTCTGCCGCTGTCCGTGGGCTTCCAGCCTGCCCCTGCATGCCTCTGCAATTTCTACCAGACTCGATTTGGCATCCCTGGTTGTACTGGTTCTGTTCAGCTATCCTTCAGTTGGCTTTTCCAGATGATTTGTCTTTATTTTAGTTGTAATTCTAGTTTGGTCCTGGGAGACAAATTGTGTAGCTTCTATTTACTCTGCCACCATTTTTGCAATTATAAGTTCTTGAACATATTTTATCAGATTATTTTCTAGATATGTTCCATTTTTGAAGCAGATAAACCCAGTGTCCTTTGTACCTGGCACAGACATGTGACCTGGATTCTACCAATCAAATTCACATGATATTTTTATTTAGAAGTAAACAACTTGTGGAATGGGCCCCACATGGGAAACATTTTGCTGGTGAGAACTGTGACAGAATCATTCAACTTTGGAGGGTGACCACAGTTTGAGTTCTAGAGCATAATTTGCATCATTGAGGGAGTAGTCAATGAATTCCTTTCTTTTCCAGGGCTATTAAGCTGCCTGGTTTTAACCACTGTTCCCAGATTTTTAACATTGATGTGAACTACCCAATCTCTGGAGTCAGTTCTGTTGTTTGCAACTAACAACTCTGGTCCTATTATAAATGGAATATATTTTTTTAAATGTCATTTTCTGGAATTTTTTTGTTAATATAAAGAAATGTAGCTCACTTATACATCAGTTATTCTATTGGGCAAGTTTTCTAAATTCTTTTATCAATTTCAGTAGATTTCATTTAGATTTTTTGTTCTTGTTTTTGTTTTTTAGATTTGCATTTTTTTATTGTTGAAAGTATTACAGCCCTGGCCAGTTTGGCTCAGCAGTTAGAGCGTCGGCCTGTGGTCCTGAGAGACCCGTGTTTGGTTCCCGCTAAGGGCATGTACCTCAGTTGCAGTTTGTCCCCGGCCCTGGTTGGGTTGTGCAGGTGGCAACTACTCGATGTGTCCCTTTCACATAGATGTCTCTCTCTCTCTCTCTCCTCTCTCTCTCTCTCTCTCTCCCTTCCTCCCTCCCATTCTATCTGAACAAAATATCCAAAACATGTCCTCAGGTGAGGATGAAAAAAAAAAAAAAAAGAAAGTATTACAGATGTCCCACCTTTTTTATTTTTAATAAATATATGCATTATCTTCAAATAATGAGTTTTATTTTTTTCTTTCCAACGTTATGCTCTCTCTTTCCTTTTCTTTCTCCTCCTTCTCCTTTCTCTTCCCTTTTCTTCTTTTTATTTAAATACTAGATAGAATTTGCATTGGAATAACTTGAGCTTAAGTTTTCTGTCTGGGAAATGTTTTGCTACCTTATTCAATTTGCAAAACAATTTTCACTCAATTTAAGTTTTTATTTATCTTTTGTCAGTTTTAACAAATTGTATTTCTATAGAAACTTGTTTATTTCATATAAATTTTGAAATGTTTTGCTCTAAAGTTATTCACAGTCTTCTTACTATATTTTAGTATCTGCACCATCTGGAGTAAGTCCCTTTCTATTTTTATTACTGGTTATTTGTACCTTCTCTCTTTCTTTTTAAATTGAGATATAATTGACATATAACATTATATATTAGTTTGTGTGTACAAAATAATGATTTGATATTTGTAGATGCTGTAAAATGATCATTCCAGTAAGTCTAGTTAACATCTACCTCCACACATAGTTACCGTTTTTTTTCTTGTGATGAGAATGTTTTTGGTTTTGTTTTTTTTAATCCTCACCTAAAGACATATTTTTTTTTTATTGATTCCAGAGAGAGAGAGGAAGGGAGAACTCAGTTGCCTCATGTATGTTTCCTGACTGCAGGATGGAGCCCACAACCCTTCAGTGCTGCGGGACAACACTCTAACCACTGAGCCCCTCCAGCCAGGGCTCGTAATGAGAACTTTTAAAGTTTACTTTCATAGCAACTTTCAAATAAACAACACAGTATTATTAACAATGATCACCATACTGTACATTACATCCCATGACTCATTTATTTCTTAACCGAAAGTTTGTTTGTACCTTTTGACACCCTTCACCTGCTGTGCCCACCCTTCAGACTCCTGCCTCTGGCAACCAGCAATCTGTTTTATCTGTGAGTTCGTGTTTTTCTGTTGGTTTTCTTGTTCTAGATTGCACATACAAGTGTGATCATATGGTATTTGCCTTTATGTGTCTGGTTTATTTCACTTAGCATAATGCCCTCAATGTCCATCAAAATTGTTGCAAATGGCAAGATTTCCTTTTTTTTTACTCTACGAATCTTGCTAGGAATTTGTTAGTTTTATTAGCTTTAGAAAGAACATTTCTGGTACTTTTTGTTTTCTATTTTGTTAGAATTTCTATTGTCTCCTTCTTTTAAAATTTCTTTGGATTTATTGTGCTGTTTGAATGCTTAGCACCTTAATTTTTCAACTCCTCTTCGTTTTTAATATACACATTAAAAGAATAAATTTTTCTTTGAGTCTTTTCTTTAGCTGCATCTCAAGTTTGCTGTCTTGTATTTTGTTAATTTTTAGAGAAAAATATTTTCCAATTCCTGTTATGATTTCTTTTTTGACTCATGAGTTATATAAATTGTTTATAATTTTCAAAAATATAGGGATGTCCTAGTTATATTTTTAGCTTTATTGCATTGTGGTCAGAGAATATGCCGTCACTGAATGTAATCCTTTTAAATGTGTTGGTCATATATCATAACCCTGTTTTCGTTAACTTATAAAAACGTCTGTGTTGGCTTGAAAATAATAGGTATTCTGTATATGTCAGGTGGAGATTTGTATACATATCTATTAGGTTAGGTTGTTAACTTGTTAAAACATTGATACACTTCAAAATTGTTTTTCTGCTCCTACCAATTTAAAAAGATTATATTAAAATTTGTTGTCATGATTTTGGATTTATTTATCTTTGTATTATGAAATTTTGATTTATAGGGCGAGGGGTCCAGAGCGAGTGAGGTTCGTCGGCCTCACCTGCCCTCATTCACCAGCGGCAACTGGCAGCGGGCAGCGCATCCAGCGGAGAGGGCCACCGCCAGGTATGCAACGGAGGAACATGGCTGAAGAAACGAATCACAGCCAAGTGCCTATGCTGTGTTCCACTGGCTGCGGATTTTATGGAAACCCTCGTACAAATGGCCTGTGTTCAGTATGCTATGAAGAGCATCTTCAACGACAGAATAGCAGGAATGATAGAATAAGCCCCCCTGCGGCTTCCGTCAGTAGTCTGTCCGACTCTTTACCAGGTCAGTGCACAGAGGGCAGCGTCCCAGAGGCTCAGTCCGCACTGGACTCCATATCCTCATCTCTGCAGGAAAGTCCTGTTTCAAATCAGTCACTGTTATCAGAATCTGTAGCACCCTCCCAAGGGGACAGTACACCTGCGGACAAAGCAACACCTGAAACAGAAGACCTGCAACCTTCAGTATCCCACACAGCACAGCAGCCACCTGAAGAGCAAAGCAAGTCTCCTGAAAAACCAAAACAGAAAAAAAATCGCTGTTTCATGTGCAGGAAGAAAGTGGGACTTACTGGGTTTGAATGCCGGTGTGAAAATGTTTACTGTGGTGTACACCGTTACTCAGATGTACACAATTGCTCTTACAATTACAAAGCTGATGCTGCTGAGAAAATCAGAAAAGAAAATCCAGTAGTTGTTGGTGAAAAGATCCAGAAGATTTGAACTCCTGCTGGAATGCAAAATCCTTTGACCACCTGCAAACTAAAAATTGATTTGAGGTTTTTTTCCTAGTCATTGGGAATGTAGAGCATTGTATCTTGCATAGACCTTTTAATCATGCATGTCATCAGAAGAATAGATTTTTGTTTTTAAAATGACTCTGAACATTTATTTCCATTACAGTTTTTGTGACTGAAAACACTTAAGTAAACTTGACAAGTATTATCCTTTTAAGATCATTTTAATTTTAGTTGCGTAGAGGGCTTTTATAACAAATGTAGAAATTTTAAACATGCATGCGTTCATCTTGCGGTTTATTTTCTCATTGTGTATGTATATATAGCTTTTCTCTGCAGCATGATTTCTCTTTTGATAATGCCCACTAGGGCACAGCTTGTTGTCAGTAACTGAATGTATCTTAATCATTATAGCTGCTTCTGTTTTTTTCATTAACAAAGGTTATACATATGTTAGCATATAGTTTCCTTGCACCCACTATTTATGTCTGAATCATTTGTCACAGGAGAGAGTGTGCTGATGAGATTCTAAGTTTGTGTTTTTAATATTCTTTTTTTTGAGCGAGGAAAGGAAAAACTGGGTGCATTTCGTTGCTGACTGCAGGTTTCTTTCAGATTACATTCTTCGTCTGTGTGTACACAGTTTGAAGAATGATCTGAAGTAATTGTGCTGTTTTTATGTTTATATACCAGTCTTTAATTAAATAAAAAGAAAAACCCTAAAACAAATAAATTAAAATTTTGATTTATACATTTTTTAGGTCATCTTATTGGATCGACAAGATTTTAGAATTATGTGTTTACTGGTAAATTAATGGCTTATTACTAAAAAATGATCTTTTTCATTAATAAGGCTTTTTGATATAAGGCTATTTTAGTTGATATTAATATAGATATATTAGCTTTCTTTTGGTTAATGTTTGCATTGCATATCTTTCTTTTTAATTTCAAACTTTATATTTATATAAGCAAGATTAATCTTCTAGTTTCTCAGTTTTTAATTTTTTAGTGAGATTTAATACATTTACATGTGATATGACTACTGATATACTTGGGTCTAGATTAAGCGGTATTTGTTTTCTTTAATTTAGATTTATTTTGAATACAGGTCATTTACAAGAAGACAACTTCTAAGTTTCCTGAAGGACTAAGAGTGAAGAGAGCATTAAATGTCTACAAATGTGTTACCTTGGTTCTCTCTAAAGACATCACTGCACCTGACCCAGTTCCTTAGAGTAGGATAGCATGACAGGTTTAGTCCGCCCTAGGCTGACCTCGTGGGGATGCTCTGTGTTCTGGCCATGTTGGAAGGTAGGGCGTAGGGTACTGACTGGATTTGAAGCGTTTGTTTAGTGACATAATTCAGGTATGGTACAAGAATATACATTATCAAGAAAATTCCACATACAAAATATAGAGCTGCAGAATGACTCAGAAAAATTACATTATACTTATTCTTCACTGACAGTGCAGACAGAGAGGCCCTTGGTCAAGTCCTTAGACACGGGCAGAACTTTCGCCTCAGGACACAGTGGGATTTGCAGACAAGATGGTGAGTCATTATGTTGCATGTCTACTTGGGACCAGTTATTGTGTTTCTGTGTGGGCTAATGGTTACCTCCTGAAGTGCACAGAGAATTCTGCAAGCATGGGCTCCACCTCTTCAGCTTCTTACAGGCTGTTTGGGGCCAATTCTTTCTGTCTAACTGCAGATTTCAAAAATACACCCTGCTCTCTCACATATCATAAATTTTTGTCATGTTTGTATATTTTTTTATTTTACTGTCTATTTGGCCCACTTATTCTATATTTCCTTTGTCATCTTTTAGACTGGTGTGTGTGTGTGTGTGTGTGTGTGTGTGTGTGTGGTAATTTCATTTTATTCTATTATTTTAAAAGTTTCTATTCCTTGGCCGCCATCAACAAATCATCAAACAACAAGTGTTGGCGAGGGTGTGGAGAAAAGGGGACTCTGGTACACTGCTGATCGGAATGCAGACTGGTGCAGCCACTATGGAAAACAATATGGTGTTACCTCAAAACATTAAAAATTGAACTGCCATTTGACCCAGTTATCCCACTTCTAGGAATAAACCCTAAGAAGCCTGAATCACCAATCAGAAAGAATATATGTACCCCCATGTTTATAGCAGCACTATTTACAATAGCTAAGATCTGGAAACAGCCCAAATGTCCATCAGTAGACGAATGGATAAAAAAGCTGTGGTTCATATACACAATGGAGTACTATGCAGCTGTAAGAAAGAAAGATCTCTTATCCTTTGAGACGACATGGAGGGACCTGGAAGGTATCATCATAAGTGAAACAAGCCAAACAGAGAAAGACAAGTTTCATATGATCTCACTTATTTGTGGAATATAATGAACATAACAGTCTGAGGAATGGGATAGTCCCAGAGATGTGGAAGTGGGGTACAGACTGACAATCCCCAGGAGAGGTGGTGGTGGGGGAGAGATAAACCACAGAACTTATAAGCATGTATGCATGAACAATGGACATAGACAACAAAGCTGGGGACAGAGAAGGGAGGGTCTGGGAGGGGGGAATCAGTGGGGAGAAAAGGAGAAACATCTGTAACAAAAATTAATTAATTAATTACATTTTAAAAAGTTTCCATTCTTTAGTGATCACCCTAGAAATGAAAACATGCATATTTAACAAACCTCTAGCGTTACACTGTTGTCCTCCTTCTAGATCACACAGGAACTTTAGAGCACCTTACTGCATTTATAGCACTAACAGTTTACATATTATTATGTTCTCTCATCTTATTTACTTATTTATTTTTTCTATGTGCCCCTAGCGGGAACTGAACCCGGGACTCTCTAGTCTGCAGGCCGATGCTCCAACCACTGAGCCAAACCAGCCAGGGCTCTCATCTTATTTTTAAAATCTCACAGATTTCATGTTTTATACAGCCCATGTCCATTTCCAATTAACCACAGATGTGTTTCTTGGCTATTCATTTCATCTTGTACCTCCGATTTTTATCTATTATCATTTTCTATCTACTTACAGCACTTCCTTTAACATTTTATTCTAACTTTGGCGAGATGTCTTGATTTTTTTTGCCTGAAAAATATCAATTTTATTCTCACTTTAAAAAGTGATTGCTACAGGTTTTAAAATAAAAGTTGGCATCTAATTTCTCTCCGCACACAGATGATACTACTACCCTGTCTCCAGCCTCCTGAGCATTCGAGTGGCAGTCTAGCTACTGCTCCTTTCAGGGTAAACTCTCTTTTTCCCTACCTGCTTTTAATTCTCATTCTTTGTATGAAAAAACTGTGTGTAGTTTCAGTAGTGTGTTTTTGAGTGGGATTTCTTTCTGTTTATCCTACTTGGGAATCACAATTCCAAATCTGTGAATTGGTGTTTTGTTTTGTTATTTTTTTAATACCCTACACTTTATTTATTTTTTTCTATTTTTTAAATTAATTTGTTTGTTACAGATGTTTCTCCCCCCACAGATTCCCCCCTCCCTCTCCCTCCCCGGCCATCTCCAGCTTTGTTGTCCATGTCCATTGTTCATGCACACATGCATATGAGTTCTGTGGTTTATCTCTCCCCCACCACCCCCTCTTCTGGGGATTGTCAGTCTCTACCCCACTTCCATGTCTCTGGGACTACCCCATTCCTCAGATTGTTATGTTCATTATATTCTACAAATAAGTGAGATCATATGATACCTGTCTTTCTCTGTTTGGCTTGTTTCGCTTAGGATAATACTTTCCAGGTCCCTCCATGTCGTCTCAAAGGATAAGAGATCTTTCTTTCTTACAGCTGCATAGTACTCCATAGTACTCCTCATGATTCTCTGCTATGGTTTTTGTGGGCTTTCACTAATAGTGCTTTGCTTCCCTGTGCACTGAGTAAATTTATTTTATTGTATGTTGATCACTGTTTTTGAAATATTACTGTGGCATTCTTTTAGGTCTAGGCTAAAAGATTCTTCCTCTGGAAAGAATTTGGGTTTTCTTGTGTAAGTCATCTAAGGGGGCATTTTCAAGCTAGTGTCACCTGGGGGTGTGTTATGAATTTGGACTGTAAACCCAGTAGAGGGGTGGATTTTGATTCAATTTCACAAGAATGAGTTTTGTGCTTTGTTTTGTTTTGTTTTGTTTTGAATTCCTTCATGGCTCTACTCAACACTACATTAATTTTCTTTGAAGCTGTCTGGGCTGCAAAGGAGTTGCCTCTGATTCAGCCTCACTGTAATGCGTAGCCCCTCTAGGATCCCTGCCTCACATGACACGGATCTCCTTGAACACTGGTGGGCTGTGACCTCTATTTCCAGCACCACAATACCATCAAAAACAAGTTCAGACTTGCCCAGATCAGCAAGTGCCTTCAGGATCAAAGCAGCTTCTATGTGTTCTATTCCTGCTTAAGCCCTCCGAGTTCACACTCTAGACTAGTGTATGCTGTGGTACAGCCTAGAGCAACAGAAGCATTCTTGAGAATACACATCTCATGGTCAAGTTGGCTTGTGGTTGGTCCACATGTGTCTCACTCAGAGGTCCATGTGGCCGATAGGCGCATGCTCATCTGGAAAGTTGCTGGTTGCCATGGCAGGGGGGCGAGATTATGGTGGATCACACATGGACCTTCAAGGTCTGCGAAGAAGTAACACAAATCAGTTAGCTCTGCTCCTGTTTTACTGTCCAAAGCAAGTCACATGGCTGCACTAACTTCAAGATGGTTGGGAATTACAATGCTACCATTCTCTCAGAAGGAAGAGAACTTGAAATATTGTTCAATATTTATAATGACTAGCATACGTACCAACTCTTCAGTGCTTTTAAAATATAATATTTGCAGTATTTATAGTTTTTTTTTTAGTAGGAAAGTTGGCAAAAATAATCCTTTGTCCATATTATGTTCTCTTTTTAATGCCTATTAATATCTCCCCCACCACCACCACCAATAGTCTCGGTATTGAAAAGCAAGTTGATGGTTCTCTA